GTCTATATGACTCTTGATTAATAAATATGCATGCATAATATGAATCAGCCAAAAAAAAATCATTAGTGAAAAAAATCGTTAAATCTATTTTTTAAAGCCAGATATGGCTTAGACGGTATATTTAATTAATATTTATGGTTTTGATTTTGAAAAATGATGTTTGGATTAGTAGTTATCAAGTGCGCACAAATATTTAATATATATATATATATATATATATATATATATATATATATATATATATATATATATATATATATGGTTTTATGTGGAAAAGTCTGTTATTTTAAGAAAAATTTTGATAAAGTCCTAAAAAAAATTTTAACAGAAAACCCACATTATTTTATGAAAATCGCATAATCTGTCATTTCCTGTTAAAATATAAAAAACTTATTTTTTTGTTAGTTTGAGCAAAATGTTAAATAATCGTGATTTCTTTTGTTTAAAAAAACTTTTAAAAATTTATTAAAAAATTTCTCAAAATAATGTGACTTTTTTGTATAAAAACACATATATATATATATATATATATATATATATATATATATATATATATATATATATATATATATATATATATATATATATATAGGTTAATGAACTAGAAAGTTAACGAACTTTGGTTTTTGTTCACATTAAGGTAGCCATGTTTTTTCGTATAAATTTGATCATTGAACTTGTTTGACCTGTTCAAAATAAAGTAATATGACTAATTATTAGCGGTAAATCAAACAAGTTTACTTGTCAAATGTGTACGAAAAAAACATGGTTACCTAAATATGGACAAAAACCAAAGTTCATTACCCGTTTTGGTAATATTGGGTTCTTTATGTTAAGTACAAGTAGTCATAAGACTCATTGATGTGACATGCAATTGGGTTGTCCGGTCTTTGTGTATGAGGAGATGGTCAAGTCTTGGGCCAACCCAGTTTAGGCACAACTAATTAAGGGTTAGGTTGTATACGCTTAAGGGGCTAGGTTGTATGTGCTTTAAAGACCTAGCAACACAGCTTAGCCCATGACTTTTCGGGACTGAACTGGGTTAGACAAAGTCAAACCTAATTGTTCATTAACTGTCGGAGCCTGATCCCAGGGCACAATCACTGAGACAGTGCTTGTCCAATATTACCAAAACGGATAAGAAACTTTGGCTTTTTGTCCATATTTAGATAACCATGTTTTTCTATACACATTTGACCAATAAACTTGTTTGACATGTTCATAATAGGGTAATATTACCGGAATTACCAGTCATATTACCCTATTTTGAACAGGTCAAACAAGTTCAATGGTCAAATGTGAACGAAATAAACACGGTTACCTAAATGTGGACAAAGACCAGAGTTCGTTACCTTTCTAGGTCATATTACCCTATTATATTATATATATATATATATATATATATATATATATATATATATATATATATATATAGAGAGAGAGAGAGAGAGAGAGAGAGAGAGAAATATCGTGTGTGTTTGGCAAAACTAATTCTTAATTTTTTTATGCAGAAATGTTTGGTTAAGGTACCTGCTATTTTTTACAGGTATAAAATTAAATAGAAACCAAAAGAAAAAAGCTATTTTTTAAATGTTTAGCTAAAGTACTTGTTATTTTTTAAAGGTGTAAAATTACATTGAAATCAAAAGCTAAAAACTTCCAAAAACTATTTGAAGCAGGCCCGGCCCAATATGGCGGGCAAGCTGGACGACCGCCCCGGGCCTCATGACTTTTGGGGGCCCTAAAATTAATTCTGCCAGGTAATTTAATATATGATAGTTTTATTTTAAATAGGTACATAAACTTCCATTTAGATGAGATGGAAACGGGTTTTTAAACAAATGGCTGGAGTTCGATTCTTTTTATGCACAAGTTTTTAAAATATCTTAAAAGTTTTGTTTAGTAGTAATTAATGAACTGTAGTTAACAAACTAATAAAGTTCATAAACATTGTGGTCCGTTGAATTCACAAATGTGAGACTTTTTTTTCTTTTTTTGTTAACTATTATTTTTATATGTAAATCGTTTATATTTGTTTTACACTTTTACCGTTAAAAAATAAACCATACTTTTTTTAAGAGTCTCATTTATCGTCTTCGTCTTCTTTTATTTAAAACAACCTAATCAATGATTTCATATATGTTAAATTTGGTACGCTAATCAATAAAAATATATGTAATCGAAAAACATATTAAAAGATTTTTAATAGTTAAGAAGTTAAGAGGAGATTTATTTCAATGAGATTTTCACAATATATTGTTTAACAGTAGACGTGGAACGACAAAAATAAAAAAATGTAACTATTTGCATAATGTCATACATAAGTTCTTGTAAAAAAGTTAATTTAAATACGAAGAACACGATAAAAATAACTATAAAACAACATACAATGTTACTAAATATACATGATTTTTGAACATGAACACGAACACGACACGAATACGACGTTATGTGTTATTATCGTGTCGAATTTCTAACACAAACACGACATGACACGACAACATATATGGTTGGACCGGTGACCTAAGGGGCCCTTTTTGCTTTTTTTGCCCCGGGCCCATATATGCTTGGACCGGCCTTGATTTGAAGCACCATTTGGATTAAAAGATTTTAGTTTAAAATAAAAACATAAAACTCATACTAACAAGAGAAGATTTTATTTAATTCGTAAGTTAATAAGAACTCTCAACAATTCATTATTGAACGTACCAATACCCTAAATGTCACACAAACCAAATGTTGACCCCCAAGGTGAACATGAAGCGCCAACTCAAGAAGAAACAGTTATAACGGGTCAAAATTTTATGTATACATGAGAATATTTTTTTGCTGAAAGACCATTAGTCGTAAAAAAAGTCTTTAATAACCAATATGGTAGACATGAACTGCTTTATATCTGGATTTTGTGTTTAACCCTAAAACTAATTGATGTCTATGTGCATTTACACGTACGAAATCTGATATGATACCATAGAAGTCAGAATCGTAATAAAGCGAAGGACGCTTTAGTTAGGGGGGACTTTTATTTGCAAAAGGTCTTTAAAGCATGAACACACCAAGATTCTCTTTCTTTTTTCAAAAGTTTCTAAATTTTTTTGTTTCTTTATATTCGTGTTTCTAATGATCATGCTTTGTATCTAAAAAATAAAAATAAAGAATCAGAATCCACGCACGTTGAATGATGTTTTATTAGGTTTAATTTTACACAGCCGTCGCACAGAGCCGACATTTTATTTGAATATTAATCGTGTTAGATGACATATATGTGTAGATCATAACGGACAAGTTGTTTTTTTTAAACGAAAAATATAATATATAATCTACTCCTAAACTAACACCTAAATCCACCTACATCCACGACGAATCTAGCTTTTACTATTTTAATTTTTTATTTTTAATTAATTGCACAAAAGAAACATGATTTTCAACATGTTTAATTACTCTTTATTCTTTAAGGAATGAATTATCAAACGCATACATATTATTTAAGTTAAAAAATAAACAAGTTAGAAATAAGAAAAATTAAGGATATTAGCATTAGTATTTGTTGGAATTTAATGCAACTCAAACGTCAAAAATTGACCAAACAAATAACCAAATAAAATCAAGCATATGAGAACATAAGAATTTAGTGTAGTTCCACCATTGATGTGATGTTTACGTCAGATTGATTGAGAAAATGTAGTTTTTTCATATATACTTTTACCAAGAAATGTATAAAAGATAACAAAACTTACTGTATTAGGTGGATCGTGACTGTTTTGTTCTATTTTTTAGAGATAATTTCTCATCATATGTGAAATTATAGTGTGACAAATATGAAAATATTTTTTTTGTTTTTTACCTTTAAGAAGGGGGACCACAACCATGCTCATTTCTCAGCCCAACTTCGCAGCCCGTTTATGTGATTCGACGTGCTTTTACAGAAAGCCGGTGACATCGGTGAAAAATATGGCTATTTTAAAGATTTGTCTGATTGATGATTAGTTCTTAGAAAATGATAAATAAGTTTAGTCTAATTTGTTAACTTCTCTAAACTAGTAAGTAATTCCCGAACTATTTGTAAACTCATGGGAACGTATTCATAAACAAAATATAAACTCTAAAACGGTTCATATATTAAATTTTTTTTTTTCACAAATCTTCAATAACAAAAAGCACAATGAGCATTTACCAATATGTATTTGAACTTGATTTGATTATTCAAATAATACAATTACATTACATTATATAATATTTCTACTAAATTTTTAAATCGATATGTAAATCATTTAAGAAAAACGCCAATGAACCTGTAATAATGGGCTTTTTGCCTTTGTTTTCTGTTTTAAATCTCCTCTGGGCTTCAAGTCCACTTTTTATGAAAATTATACAATGTGCCCGTTTCTTCTCTCCTTCTCCCGCCATTACTATCACAAATTTTGATTGTTTGATACTATAACTATAAGCATTTAATTTGTCTTATTGTCTTTTATATGTCTTTAGGTCTGATAAAATGTTGTATTTTAGACTCAATCAGGTCTTGACTCAATAACAACTATCAAACAACCCTTAAACTAACATGACTAAGCATATATAAACGTGTTCTCCATCATAACAATGTTTGTACATCATGAATTAAGTTGGTTTTTACTTTTTACCCACAGTTAATGTCAATCTTTGGGTAAAAAGGTAATTTTATACGGGAAAATTGGTGAAATATTTAGAAGCAGAAGCCATATGGACGATCCATAACTATTGACATACCAAACGGAACAAATATATATATATATATATATATATATATATATATATATATATATATAATTTTGCCAAACCAAAAGAAAAACCACACGATTTCTTCCAAGTTCCAATGGAACAACTAAACACGTAAAACCCACTAATATTTATAAATTTCCAATGAAAATCAACTCAAATATATCAACATGTTAATTCATAATTCACAAATGAAACCAATAAACTCATAAAAGAGTTGTTTCCTACAACATAGACCAATAAGTTCACGGTTGTGTCATACTCATATCAGCAACTTTATCACGACCCATAGCAACATGTTTATGAGGAGTTTCGGGGATGGAATTTCCGTTCTCATCGTACAAAATCTTTCCAGAAAACTCAAGAGGCCGACATCTTTCCCCCATAATAATTGTACGCTTCCATACAGCTTCTTCATCATCATGATCATTTTCTCCTAATTCTTCCACTTTCCTCCATGAGATCATCTTGGCCATCAATAAGGCTTTACTACTCAAACCACCTCCTAATTTGGAAGTCGCCTGCTTTTTGACTCCTAGACGCACTGTGTTTTTCTCTCTTTTATACGTATCGGATCTTTTCAAACCACCATGTGAACCACATAGAAAACCAACGATTGAGAAAATGGATATAACCCCCACTAGAACAGCAAAAAACGCGATGCCCGGGAAGGGCAATATGGTCTTTTGTATAAAGATTAGTTGTCTTGCCATGGCTAGACTTTATATATGAAGGGGAAATAGAGATAATTTATATGGTATAAGTGAGGGCCGGGTTGGTGACAATATATAATGGAACACCATGGCCATTGGTGGTTGGTTTAACTTTATATGGAGTGACTGTTAAGGTAATGGACCAAAGACCCCATGGTTGCTCAAGGGAAAATACTAAAAGACCCCATGTTTGGTACAGTTTATACATCTAACTTTATACTAATAGAACTACGAGTAAATACTTGCAATTCGTATGGTGTTTTTTTGGTTGCTCAAAATGATCAATAGAATCTTGTAATTTGTATGAAGTTATCGGATTTTAATTGTTCAGGATGCTAGTAATTGTTAAAATAATTGAGGGATAGAGTGGTAATTTGGATTTCTCCAATCTCCACTAACTTGGCGCGTTTTCCTGACCGAAAGTGACTCAACGTATCTCACGGGCCGAGTTGACTTGACGATTCCCATCACTGACTGACGGTTGACCCAAGCTTTTAACGACACAAAATTCACGTCTTCTTCTTTGTCCGTTAGCTGTTGTTTGGTTTCATGTCACTGTTGTGGCTTTTTAATTTAGCCATTTCAATTATTAGTTTTTTATCAAGTTTATTTAAGAGAGAATGACAAATCTAAAAACTTTTATCATGTTTAGTATTTAATGGAATTTTGCTGATAATATATATATATATATATATATATATATATATATATATATATATATATATATATTAAGTTTGTTTTTAAAAAATTAATGTTTTCTACAAATTTCTTAGGTCACCTATGAAATTACCTTTCGACATACAGAATTCTAAAAACTATGTCGTTTCAGAAAAATAAATAAATAAATAAAATCTTTAGATTGACCTAGGAAATTAATATTCGGTATGAACTGATTCATATATTTACGAAAGTATTAAAATTTTGTTAAAAAACTTTTTTTTTATTTGCTTTATAGGAGAAATATTCAAAGACTATTACCATAACAAAAAAGTTGTTTTATATTTACTATGAAAGACCCATTATGCAAGGCTAAAACCCATTTTTGCAGTGGACACAGTAAAATGCAAAGTTATTGTAATTAACTTAATTTGCTCTTATTTATAAATAATAAAAAAAAAGCTCAACAGTTTTAGCTAAATTTGTTATTTTATTTTTGTTTAATATATATTATCTATTAACTTCCTTTATACGGATAATCATGCCTACGATTAATATATGTATTCAATAAATATTAAAAATCTGAACCAGAACTGTAAAAATCAAAAGAGAAGAACCAAATTGTTGATAAATATTAAAAAAAAATTGTCTAAAACTGTAAAAAAAGAAATTAAGGGGCGATGTTGTTTGTTTTTTTCTAAAAAACTATTTCTGACCGTTTATTGTTGCGCCGCGCAGCACACGTGTAATACTTGGTCATTTGCAGTTGTTTGTTTTTCAGAAGACATCTAACTTAAAAGTTGTTGCGCGTGTACTGCATGGCGCAACACTAGACCCTCTTCTTCAAATCTCTTCACACCTTACTTTAACTTATTGCAGCAGTCTGCAGAGGTTAAAAAACAAACAGACTTTTTATTACATGTTGCAGCCGTTTGATCCCCTCTTTTGCAACAGAGGGTTGCAGAGGTGGTCCACAGACTTCGGATCAAAACTAAAATACTAGATCAAAGCTATACAAAGGAAAAGTGAAGGAACAAATTCGTAATTAGTATTAAATTCTGGGGTAAAACAGTAAAAAAGAAAAAAAAAATGAAGGTGATAAAGTAAAATTGGACCTAATTCGTTATAAAAATTAAAAAGATAGGCTAAAACTATATAAAAAATAAATAAAAGGTATTATGACATAATATTAAGAAGGAGGTTAATATTCATCTTGCAAATTGTATAGACTTTACAATATGATGATAAAGTAATTAATTTTTTAATAATTTAGCAGAAAAGTAGTAGTATTTAGCGGAAAATAGACAACGAGGTAACACGCTTGCGATTTCGTCATCACGTTTGCGGTTTCATCGTTTGACACAGTAACTCGTCTACGATTTCGTCAAATTGGTTGCAGTTTCGTGACATACCTGCGGTTTCATGACCCAATAGCTTAATATATTTAAACCCTAAAAAAAATATAGCTCATTTTTCACACTCAATGATACAAGAATTTTCTCTCTAATGGTTGAAAAATACATTCTGTAAAACATGTTTTAAGTAATCTTACATGAGTTTTTTATTATATACATTGAAATTTATGGTAATTGTTTATGAATTTCGTCTGTAAATCGGAAAAAATAAAGAACCAAACCGCAAATGACATGATTGTTTGCAATGGTACAAATCTTTAATGCACAGAACATGAATCAACGACATGTATATTCGTAGACAATTTGAGAAGAAACCTCATACTATTTAATATGAACCCAAGACGACTTGAGAGGAAACCCCAAATGGTTATATATCATTTGAGATTTCGTGTCTTCGAAAATGGGCAAAGTGAAATTTTTATAGATAACACAAAATAAACCTTAACTTTTTGTTATTTAAGAGGAAACAGTTTTGCAGATGCTTTAACGAAACAGTATGCATATGTTTGCTCCGTATGTTGTTTCGTTGGTTACTAGGTGTGAGACTCATGTATTACATGAGTTTAATTAAAAAAATTAAATATGAAATTTTAACAATTTGAAAATTTTGAATTTATAAGAAAAATGAGAAAAATTTTGAATTATTAAAATTAATGAGGTTTTAATGTATTGAATACATTACATATATAAACCATTTCTAATAAATACCTTACATATATATTACCTTACATATTAAATGTGAAATTTTAATTTAATAAAATGAAAAATACAATAAAATGACAAGTGGAAAATAGAAAATTTAAAAATTCTAAAAAATGTCATGTGTCCAAATGAAGAAGAAGAGGACATATGACAAAAAACTTTCATTTATTAAAGTAGATTTTTAAATAAACCTGAATTTTTAGAAAATGTCATGTGTCCAAAAATATCATTTAATTTATGTAATATTAATATTTCACATATAATTTGGATGACAGGCGACAAAAATGGTTATTGTTTATATGTTTTCACTCTCTTTTTTATTTCATCGTCTATTTTTTCTTTCAAATAATTATTTTATTTTTTTATCAAGTAAATAAAATCTATGATCACAATTTGCTTTTTTTTTCTCATAGCATCTATATCTATCTATTTATTTATATTTATATCTATACTAGTCTAATAAATAAAAATCACTAAGCATCAAGTTGTATATTTCTAAAGTATGATCCTAATGATGTCATGTGTCATTCTTAAAAATTCATTCACATTTAATACTGTAAAAAAATTATAAATATCAATATTCATATTTTGAATTTTAAAGCCAAATCAAGATTTAAATTTTAAAATAATTAATCATTATTTTTTACATATTTTATCTCTTATAAATAAATATAATATTGTCATTCTTTTTGTATCTCAAATGTGGTCCATTTTGAGCAAAAAAAAAGTTTATATATTTTGAGCCACTAACTCCAAAGTTACAATTTAAGTCTTTGAAGTATTAATCTTTGGTTATATTTGGAATGCATAATTCTATGCAAATCATATAAAAAAAATTGTTGAAGTAACTAATTATATTTTAGAGCTATATGATGTATATTTTTTTCCTTTAATCAAATGATAATAACATTTTTTTATTCCGATCATATTATCTTACAATCACCTTAGCCATCTTCTGTTAAAAAATAAAAAAACCATAAAATTATGAATCATTCAAGTCTCATTTATTAAAATAAAATATTATCCTAAATTGACAATCATATTTCAATATAGTTTAGTATTGAATTTTTAAATTTTTATTATTTTATCAATCTATTTTCATTGCTTATCTTATAAATTTGTGGTTTCCATAGGTCTCTAACCTAATGTATTAATAAAATAAAAAGAATCTCACATGTAACTATACATATTGTATATTTATGTTTTTTTTTTAAAGGTGGTCTTTTCTTTCTTTTTTTTTTTTTTTTTTGAAACGGAACAAGTCTAACAAGAAACTAGTACGAAACATGGGTGGGTTTAAATTCAATATATTTTGTTGCGATCGAACTAATTCAAATATCCATTGGATGTTGTATTTGTCAAGTGATTAAATTCAATTCGTTATATGCAACTCAACCGAGTTTATCCAATTGGATATTTGATTGGATCGGTTTTATCCATCGGATATATATCCGATTGGTTATCCATTATCCAACTAATTTTAATCCATATTTTATCCAATAATAACTAAATGTAATTAAGATAATTAAAACTAAAAACGCATACAATATGTTAAATTAGACTAAAAAATGACGCTTCAAGACTTCAACTTCAACGATCAAGGTTCAAACATAGAAAATCATTAATAGAATTGACATATTTGTAATTATGAATAATAGTATTTGATGATAATTGGATATTTAATGGACTAATATTGGATATCTAATTAGATTAACATTGTATTGGTTTGGTTCGGTCGGTTATCCATTGGATTTTCAGGGTGATCTAATATCCGATCCAATCCAATTGGATTTTGAAATTCGGAACCAGTCGAATCCATTTGTAATTGGATATCCACTCTGATTGGTCGGTTAGTAACTGGATCGGTCGGTTCGAATTGGATCTGCTAAGCTTTGCACACCCCTAGTACGAAAAAATGTTACAAATTACAAGCATCAAAAGCCGATGAATACCTATCTATCAAATCTAAAGTAAAAAACTACCCTCTATATTTCACACACAAAAAGAGGAAAAATTGAATGTTATCCATTAATTTTTATGTATTAAACTTACCATTCTTGAAGATCATATCATTGATTTTCCAAATATACCATAATACGGTTTCGAGAATTGCATTGAGAAGCTTTTCTTTCTAGGTCTAAATGGAGACAACATGTTGGACCATCGAACACTTGTTTGAGATTGTGTTTTGAGCCCCAAAACTAGTGGCGGCCCATGCCAACACCT